AGAAAAATACTATATTCATCACACAATATTTTTCCAGTTGTGGGGAAAGAACCCACACCCTCGGGCGCAGGAGGCAGGTACACTAGCCACTACGCCATTCGGGTCGTCATAAGCGTCCAAATATTGATCATTTATTGATCAGATATTGATCGTTAACTGCACCACTGGATTAATGAATGTTGGAATTGATCCAGGTTTTATTTAAATATTTAATTAGGCATGTGATGTTTACCAGACTGACTGTAGTAGTGAATAATATTTAATTAGGCATGTGATGATGTTTACCAGGCTGTCTGTAGTAGTGAATAATATATCATCTTATCGCTGTGCTAGGAAATCTGTTTGGTTTACCGGTTGCAATGTTGGATTTTCAACGGTTTGAATTGAATTATGTGGTGTGCGCATAGATATTTGATTTTTGTGTAATTTCTCGAAGGGCTATTGCCATTAGTTAGTGCCATTTTGGACTGAATGGGGAAGGTTGCGATCTCTATATGTATATCTCTAATCCACTAATTATGTAGATGTTGAAGTATGGGCTGTTACATATATATATATATATAAAAACTGTACCCCATTTTACAAAATTGCGCGGGCGGAGGAGTATGAAATTCACCAAACTTATAGTTTATATATCGAAGGAGTACAGAATACAAATATTTTTTTTTATTTTGCGTAAAAAATACATTAAAATAAAAAAATATTCCACACACTACCATGTATCAATGTATAACATTATGGTCGAATTTGGACGACTGGGCGACCCCTAGTATACATATAATTCTTCTGTGCATTTGTCTCATACAAATTGAACTCCTAAACGGCTGGACAGATTTTGATGAAATTTTTTGCGTGTGTTCAAGTGTATTCGAGAACGGTTTAGATTCACGATACGGTCGAATACAAAATGTGTTTTTGATTTTTATGTACGTGTAGTCAAATTTAGGACGTGTGCATAAGACGTCTGTCGGGTTCGCTAGCTACATATAATATATGTAGCCATTTAATAATTGCAAAGCAGATATCATTTGGTCTTATTGGCCCGGCGTCGAGTCTACGACCTTGAATGAGTCCAATGCTTTACGAGACGGAATTCTTACGTACCTGTCGTCTTTACGTCTCATACTATCCCCGATCGCGGTTCGAAAACTTTTAAAACTTTTGCAACTGAGATAATAATTAATTGTGATGGATAATTTTTTTTGCCGATTTGTACTCGAGACGTGGTGCCTCATTTTCAAGGGAATACGTAAAAGTGCATTTCCAGTTTTGATGCGTTTCGACCGACTTCCAAAAAAGGTCGAAATTGTCTATTAGGCTGTATTTTTTTAATGTTTGTCACCTCGGCACTGAATGACGGCAGCATGATGAAACTATTTTAAATATTGTTGGCTCGATTTAGCCTCACACTGCTCTGTATTACTTGATATCGGATTTTAGTATAGGCGTAGTCAAAATACTATATAATAATGTGACCAGACAATCGCGACACCTTCACTACATATTATAAAACAAAGTCGTCCCGCTGTCTTGTCTGTCCCTATGTATGCTTAGATCTTTAAAACTGCGCAACGGAACTAGATGCGGTTTTTATTACCAGATAGAGTGATTCAAGAGGAAGGTTTCACCCGTGCGAAGCCGGGGCGGGTCGCTAGTATTACATAAATAGATATTGCTTGGAAGAAGGTTGACCACCTCCATTATGACCTTCTTAAAATTAAATCCGGATTCGCTTAAACGGGTCGCGCGACAGACAGCGAGCTTTTCAAAATTCATCCCACTTTAAAATCGTTTGCAATGATTGTTTATGCCGCGTGCATTTTACGTTCCGGCGTCCAATGTGTAACGAACAGTTCGAGACATTTTGTCCCTCGATCTTATGAGTGAAGCCCACCTCAGGGAAAGTAGATGCCGTCAAGATATCATCGGTGTGTTGTCATGTGTGGAGCCCTTCGTCATTTCCAAAATATTGAACCTGATTAAATGCTTAAATATTTAATTTCTCCATTACGAACTGATCATTCAATCATTCTCATAAGTAAGATAAAAGATTTCTCATCATTGTAACCTAAAAGGATAATTGTTAAAAAAATGTTAGGTTTGTCTTAATTGCGTCTTCGACAAACTTCAACGTGAACACTTTTTGCCCGTCTCTCTTCTAAGAAATTCTTTTACTGCTACTGGTGGAGGTATCTTATGGAACTTAACATCAAATGCTAACCTAACCCACGGCTTCAGTGTAAAATATTCAACTCAAATCAAACGATGTCGCCCAATTAGGTTACACACATTGATACTTGATTGAGAAAATAAGGAGTTTTACATGGTATGGGCACTTTATGAGAAAGGATGAAAGTCAGGTGACTAGAAGGGTGATGAATATGAATGTGTTTAGAGGGTGCAAAGTTAGGGCTGTGTTGTGTGAAGATATATGTCTGTGAAAGACACCTCTTATATTAGTATTGAGATACTAGATAGAGGAAAGTGTGGTGACGACACTGCCTAGTGTGGGATAAGGCCAGGAGAAAAAGACAATTGATGCTCGCAAACTCATCGACCATCACTTATAGGGCATGCAATGTTTAATGTAATTTTGAAAATGAAATTTAATGTTAAATATAAATCATCTTATTGCTGTGCTAAGCAAGCTCAGTGTGTCGGTTTATTAGATCAAATGTTAAGCACGAAGCTTTCACGGTTTAAGGAAAACATGATATTGTTAACTGTGCACCAACGCTTGAGATAATCGTATGATTAATTGCAAAACATCTACAACTAAACGTCTATATATAGACATATTTTTCTACGGCAGACGTTTAGTGATTGGAAAGCCATTTGGTGTGTATCCATAAATACACCTGACTGTTCGGTTATGTTAGACTTGTTAGCGCTTCATGACACACCTGATAATATCAACAGTACTCGATGGTAGCTCCATCGAACCAGCAGAAGCCATTCTCGCGGCCCAATCGGACGGAAAGAAGGATGCGGATAGATTTTTCCAGTACAATGCTGTACGCAATAACAACGATAGTCAACTTTAGTAAATAGGGGAATATGGATAAGGAACTTGGAGGCCAGGCAAGCGTCTACTCGTCTGATGGTGATGGATAACAACCAAGTCCTCAGTCAACATCTTTGTTATTCGGCGATTGTGGACAAGGGATTTTTTTCGGCCAGCTGAGCTGATGCCACTCTTCTGATGACGTTCGAATCGAGTCGTTGTCACTCGTCGTCTTCTCATATTGGTCCTCCGAAATTTAATCTGGCGAAAGGCTTGCTTGTTTTGGGTGCGAGATTTTATTCGTAAAACTGGATCGTTTATGCGCTGTCCATATAGATAGGACGTTAGCACAACTTCTGAGCGCGTGAAAGCCAGCGTGTAAATTGAATTTTACGGAATTACAATCATTCATAACATTAAATGAATATAATCCGTAAAACTATATTGGGACCTTTATTCAGTTTGGAAGTGGACTAAACTGCTGTTATGTATTTTACGCTCAGAATTTTTAAAATACCTATACATATATTTGCTACAGCATCTATTCATGGAGTACCTTACTTTCAAGATTGTGCGGTATCAAAATGACGTCCCCATAACGAATTTCAAAGCTGAACAACTTGTGTCGCCTGTGCAAAAACTTTGTAATTATTACACAGGCATATTGGTATAGTGTAATTTATATTTATTAAACAATTTATGCGTCTCGATTTGTATTTGTTAAGAAAATTTGTGTGTGTGAAATATGCTCAAAATTCACCCAAACTTAATTAATGTAACTATGAAATTAACTTAATTAATGTAATTTATGAAAATTAACAATTATTTCGTGCGTTAATATCATAAGTAATAAACCTTTTTTAATAAATTTCACCGAAAAAGTTTTGCAACTTGCGAATGATATAGATATACATAAATTTAAGTAAAGTAATAAATTTATAAAAATAACAATTCCACTATCAATATAGAATTGTTATTTTTCATAAATTTATTATTTCCTTGAAATTTTGCCATCGCGTTTCAACCTATCAACTCTAATTTCATGTCCTGTCAATAAGCATCAACCAAAGGTTAGATATTAAGGGTAATAGACTTTATTCTCGGCGAACGGCAATTGATAACCGAATTCTTAGGATTGCTACGACGTGCCTAATAAATAATGCATTTTGTGATAGTATTTATTGGGAGTTTATTTTTGTAATATCTGCTCTTACGAGTGACGAGTGGATGATAGGAGGTAACTAATAGCTGATTTGTGACCATTCCAGGAATATATTCATTTCTTTTAAACGCTGACATTGTCTTCTTTCATGATGGCTGTACCATAATAGTAACGGTAACCTATCGCTTTACTCAGAAACGACATGTTAACTTTACCAGTCTGCCCAATTTTTTACGACTGAACTTCGTAAATGGACGAATTATGTTAGTCAAATACTAATTTACGTCTCTGAATACGAAGAAAGTTGTGTTGAAAGGCAACACAAACAAATAGTAAGTATAGTAAAGAATTTAATTGGCACAATAGCTGTGCTTTGACAGCAATCATACACCTCTAAATGGAGTCACGATCTGCGAATGTGTGTGAGTAATCGATAGTTGTAGGCGGTCCTGCAGTGGGTTAAATAATTCTGTACTTCAGAGGTAAACGGCGCTATGCCACAAACACAAATTTCAAAGTAGAGGAAAAATGCGTGCAGTGATAATTATACGATTGGATATTTTATTAATACGATGGCTACGTAAGACTTAATGATTTACAATATTGTGTAGAATTAATTGTTCTTGCTATTAAAAAGAAAATAGTTTCGATTTATTTTAAAAAAATAAGAAAAACGCGCGAGTTACCATTGTGTCCCTCTGAGGTACAGAATTGTGTCCTCCTCAGTTCTCCCTCCGACTGTAACGTATGTAGTGTCCAGCGTAGCCTAACCTATATTGTCCCCTTTGCAGCTGCTTGTAAATAGAGGCTGTAAATATAACTATATAGAAAAAGATGAGTCTGGGAGCGCGCGCCACCAAAGGTGGTGCGAAGGCGGGCGGCAAGGATGGCAAGCACGCACAGGATAAGGGCAAGCCGACAGAGAAGCCGCAGCCGAAGGAGAAGGTCAAGCTACAAGTGAGTCTCGACGTGTTTTTCTTTTACGCTAGGAATTGTTGAGCGATAACCGCCGCCCGTTGACAATGCAACAGCCGTATGGTTGCGGGTTCGTTGGCAACCTTTTAAATAAATCGGGGCCCCGGCTAACTAGCTCAACGGACGAAACGCAGAAGTGTAACACTTCTTACTTTACGCCGGTCCTCTGTGAGGTCGTTGTACTTACCCCTTACTTACAGTTTGTTCGTGAAATATTCATAGATTTAACTGCGGTAGGGCCACGCAACAGTTTTCTATGTTGCACGAATGGGCAGGTCCGTACGGACAAGTACCGCGACCTCACCAAAGACCGCGCGTGAAGTCGAAGTATAATTCTGCGCATCGTCTGGTGAGTGAAGTAGCCAGGGTCCTCTTTATTAAAAGATGGTAAGGCATTTGCATCTTAACGGGTGCTACAAATGTCCTCGGGCGGCGGTTATCATTTACATCAAGTGAACCGCCTGTACGCTTGCCTCCTTTTCACATTAAAAAAAAAGATTAAAATAATCTTCTCAACGTTTCTCGTATTCCTTCTTTCAGGCCACGACAGAACAACTCCGAATGGCAAACATGATTGACCGCAAAAGCGAGGACGCCACCGATGTCCGGAGAATGGTAAGTAATAATAAAAATTAAAATTGTCATTTAATTTTTTTTTATATAATATCATTTCTAATAATTATAAATAACTTTTACATACACCAGTTAAGTTTCCTCTAATAGGAAATGCATAAATGAACAGAAATATGAAGTTAAAAAAAACAACCGTTTACAGACCTGTTAAGGCGACGGCCAGAAACTGGCTAACTCGAAAAGTCTAACATTATCTGTACCTGTCCACCCCGCCCTGGGTACGTAGGCGCGATAGTGTTTAGTACACGCCACCAGGCAATCAGAAACACGCGAGCATGGGAAAGTTTCTCAACAATGGGGGTCAATAACCTTCAACAGTTACGCTTAACATTCGGTTTAATTGGCGCCAACATCGCGGCATCAGATTTGCGACAGTTATAACACATATCGTTTCTACCACGTGACCACGTAAACGATTATCCAACTGCTATCGATGAGAAAGGAGTTGGGTTATTATTAGATTGGCAGTTTATTGCTTTCATTTACAACAACGTCGTAAGATATTTATATGTGACTATGGGATGATGTATTTTTAGGACTTCACTGAGCGATTGAGTTCACTATCTACTGACTACATCATGGAATGGTGTTCAAACATAAGGCCCACCTTACTAAAAATGCATTTTCTCTTAACTGGACTGTGACAAATGACGGGTCGGCTCGACCATACTTTGTCTTCACAGAATGCCGGCATAGTCTCGATTCATACATTTGATTTTGCCCTGTAGAGTTTGAGGTTGCTTACCCTCTAACAGTTTGGTTTCGTTACGTAAATACAACTCCATTGGTGTGGATGTCTATAGGGGGCGGTAACCATTTAAATGAGCGGACTCGACACAACTGGCGGACTTAACACATCGTCGAAATATTTTTTTTATTATTCTTTCGAAAATATGTAGGTGTGCTCACGATGCTTTCCTTCATTGCTGGGCACTTGATAAGTCAGATATGTCATTAACATTTTTATTGGTGCCTGCACTAGGGATCGAACCTGGGTTGCTCGAGTATATTGAATTAAAGGCGAGCGCCCGGACACTGAACTATCACGGCTCTATCCTATATGGACCTTCACTATTCTACTTCTTTCTTTCTGTACTATCGACGCCGCTTTATATTGCCATGTTGTTCGTGTTTAATATATAATTTGGTTTAAAGTATTGCCATTTTGTTCGTGTTAACATTATTATTTGTTTCAAAGGTGACAGAGCTGATGGAGATGACTTGCTGCACAGAGGAGGAGGTGTGCTCGGCGCTTCACGATTCCGACAACGACATGGTGGCGGCCTGCAACCTCCTGCTAGAAGAGAGCCAGCGGATACAGGTATTTATTTACTTATTCACGGGAACAAAAGAGAAAATAAAAAATGAAAATTAACATACAGCATGCGGCTATTTACAGCTGCTCCCTTAACTAATATCTCACTGAGAGCAAGTTTGTTATTAATCGGTAACATACTTACGGCAGAACCGTTACAATTGCAGAGCACACATCATTTAATAACATTTGAACAATGCAAGAACATACTAACTACCTGTGTACACCTACAGAACCTTGAAACGGATATATGCCACAGTTTTTCGTCTAGTGAGAAACTGCCTTAAGCATACCCCCACAGCAAATATGTTCTGTATAATCATTTTCCCGAATTAGTTTATGTACTAAATTCATACTATCATGAGTTAGTTTTTGCGATATTCTTGTTTCGATAGTATTCTTAAGGTAAGTAGTTTGAGTGGTTTATAATATTTATTGCAAATATGTGTGTGTGTATCTCGGTGTTTTTACTAAGTATCTCGGACACGCGGAGTAAATGGTTCAAGTAAGATGTACTCTGTGTTGGTAAACGGTAAAAGTAAAATTGACTCAGTCTTGGTAAATGGTAAAAGTAATATGCACTCTGTCTTGGTAAACGGTAAAAGTAATATGTACTCTTTTTGTTAAACGGTGAAAGTAATATATACTCTGTATTGTTAAACGGTAAAACTAATATGTACTCTGTATTGTTGAACGGTGAAAGTGATATATACTCTGTCGCAGGGCGAGTGGCAAACGAACGAGAAGAAGAAGAAGAAGCCGCCCGCCGCCGCCGGCAACGGCGAGCTGGAGCCGCCTCGAGACGCCCGAGAGCGGGACGCGCGCAGCCGCTCCGGACCGCGGACCAGTTAGTTTCCCTCCTCCATGTGAGAAGGTGGCTTTAAGCGATTCACCCGGTGCTAAGCGATAACCGCCGCCCAAGAACATGTAGCATGGCAACACTTGTAGGCTTGCAGATGCGCACCCACCTTTTAATAAACTAGACCCCAACTATCTCACTCACCAGATGTAACGCTGAAGTATAATATCCACTTCACGCCGCTCTTTTGTGAGTTCGTGGTACTTGGACGGATCTGCACATTCGTACAACAGTGAAGACTTGCGTGGCCCTACCACAGTTGATTAATTGATTATCATATAGGGATACTTCACTTACCAGTCGAAAGGCAAAAGTATAATACTTCTACGTCACGCCGGTCTTCTTTGGATCCGCCCAATGGTGCAACAGCTTGGCTGTTTTTCATTGCGGATGCTCAAGTTGTTGTTTGTAGATTTCTTACTGTGATAGTTAATGTCTACAGCAGATGAACAACCATATGAACTACTTCTTAAAGCTCTTTGGAACTTTAGAAACTAACAAAGGTTGGAGACAAAATTTTATTTCATCTCGTTTAACAAGTCACAAAGCTGAAAATGCAACAGAAAGAAAGTAGTTGGCCTTGTACCGTGTGCAGGGCGCGGCGAGGGCGAGGGCGGTCGCGGCAGGGGCGGCGCGGGGCGCGGCAGGGGCGCGGCGCGTGGCGGCAGGGGGGCGGCCAGGGGCGGACGGAGGGGCGGTGCGCGAACCCGCCCCCCGCGCGACTCTCACTGGTCCGCCGACGCCGGCGAGCACGGTGAGTGGTTCGACAAGTAGCTGGTGGATGAGCGCTGTTATATCTACGCTACGACGTGAAGCTCTCGAAGAACCAGTTCAAAATTTTCATCTAAATAAAACATTCACTGTTTATACTATTATATTTTCAAAAATATAGCACAGCGCTAGAGCGACGTGACCTGTGTCGCGTTCGGTGTAAAGTCTGCTGCGAAATTATGTTGGTTGGCCATTTGTTCGCTTGCTATTTAGTATAGTGATGTTTAGAGGACCATACAATATCGTAAATATAGTGAAACCCAACTGGTTACTAGGAATAATCTCATGCAATAAATGGTTCATTTCAATCCTTAGTCTTTTCAGTCATCTTTAAACAAACAGGACTAATATGTTGCAACACTTGTAATATAACATCTAAGTTGTATAAACAATAATTACATATTTAGTTTTTTCTGTGGACACTGAGTTGTCACGGCCAAGTGTCCCGAGCGCTTGCGTTTAAATCTAAATACTTGAGCAACCTGAGTTAAAATAACGGCCAGCATCAATGAAATTGTTGATGTAGGATGAAACCTGCATATTTTTGAATTACTAAAAAAAATATGAACTCAGTGGGGTCACAACTACAGAGAAGGCCCTATCCCATCAGTGGCACATATATTTGCTGTTTTTTTATTTTTTATTATTCAATATTTCATTGTTATAAACAAATATTATATATTTAATTACATTATAAAATGTGTTGTAGGTGGCAACATGTGCGATTCATTCCCCACCACAGAAGACTGGGACAACGAGGAGTGGTCTGGCTCTCTATCGGATACCAAAGTAAGTGACTTTACTACTATCATAGAAGTACATAGTCTCTTAATAGATTAACACATCATATAGGGATAAACAAAAAAATACATAGTACAATTATCTAAACAACTTTGTAATAACAGCAAGTTTAGAATACCTTTACCGAGCTTGCAGTTATTTGGGCTGATTAAGGAATGGACCGACTCAACTGGGAATGAACAAAGGTCTTACCGAGGAATACTGATTATTGTAGAAGTATTTATTCTTTTGTATGGTGAGTGTAGAAACTGGACCACACTCTTGAAATTTGTCATTGAACCAGCAAGCCATGTGTTGTGGTGGAGATGGCCTTGGCCGATGGAAATGTTGTATTTGGTGAAGCATTTGTGTATATATAAATTATGGAAAAATGTCTGGTTCCCGAAAATCAATCAAATTTATCTCAGTCATTTTACCAACCTATAGCATTTTCACATCAACTATTTGAAATGATTGCTTGCTTTATTTGATATGCAGAAATTAATGTATTGAAATTTGTTAATGTCAATTTTAGTGTTTTTTTAATATTTTTACCACAGACAGATACAGATTGACGTTAGGAATCCCAAAGTCGCACTAAATATGTTTTTAACGATCCAAGTATATAAATATCTTCAGGAAATGCTTGTGTCAAACTTCTGTACGACCTTACCAACATGAAGAAGTTAATTTTTTTTGTGCAGTAACTGATATTAGTTTTGTAATTTATTATGTATATACTGTGTGTATACTCTGTAATTGTGTGTATACTGTGTTTCACTTATTATATTAATATAATTACAAACAAATACACACACTTGCCTAAATATACTTCAAAATAATATAACGTAATAAATGGAGTCTTAATGTGAAAATATGTAATACTAACTTTTTATTTTAGTTTGATCATAACTAATGCTCAATAATCGATAGTTACTGGGGCTTTAGTGGCCAAATCAAAATTTGTGAGCAGACGGATAGTAACTATCCGTTCTGAATAATGTAAAGACTTATAAATTGTCATTTTTCTTTAGAATTACATGTTGTTTCTGGAAATTAAGTATTATGGCGTATTTTTTATGTGACAAGGCGGTTGACGTGATGTTTAGTTATAACCGCCGCATATTTGCAACTCCCGTAGGGTTACCGATGCGTTTTCAACTTGTGATAAAGTGGGCCCCGTCTACCTCACTCCCCAGACGAAACGCAGAAGTATAACGTTTCCACTTCACGCCGGTCTTCTGTGTAGTCGTAGTACTTACTCAGACAGACCATCCTCCACCATCATCCTCCATTCATGCAACACAGGAGAATCAAGTGAGGAATACTAAATATTCACCACTGAACTTCTTTGAATATAATTTAATGATAGTTAACTATATATTAATGATAGCTTTATAACTAACTATCGATATCATGGACCAATATAATTGATATCATAGTCTTGGGAATATGTTCAGTCCACTCCGTGGCGCAGTTGCTAAGCTATTGACTTTGATGCTGGGGGTCGTGGTTTCGATTCCCATTCGGGATAATTGTTCTGGATTCTGGGTGTTTGTTTACAACAAGGGTTGACGGTAGGCAGACGGCCGGCCGTAAAGGAGCTAAAATGACAGGTGGCATAAGGGCATGAAAATGAAGGAGAAGTTGCAGTTGAAATATCATGGGGTGGGTTCATCTTAAGTGCAGAGGTTCAATCTCTCGTTGGAATTATCGTTGTTGATTTTGTTTGTCTGCTATAAAAGAGGTAACAAAAGATGTGCCAAGAATTGCAGTGAACACCTTCATGTAATCAGCTTCATTCGTCTCAAGGTTGTTGGTGGCAACTGGTCATAGACGAAGGTGGGTTCGGTACAGGGGCCAGGTCTATCTGCACAGGCTGACAATGATGAAGTATTTGTATTGCATTTTGCGTGGAAGCGGTTGGGTATGAGATTCCAACGACCACTGCGATCTACAAGATCTTGTGTAGTCTCCTCTTACACCCAGATGCGTTGTTTCGCATGTCTGTGGGTCACACAAATAGTTTTTCCGTGTTGGAATCGAACCCACGATCTACGGTGCATAGGCCAATACTTGGCAATTGCGCCAACGGAGTCATCAAAATATGATGAAGTAACCGTTGTCTCATTTGCAGGTGTTCACTCCGAGTGTGAATGCACAGACCGCCGCAGCAGATCTCGACAATGCTCCTTCGCAGGATGCAACGGTAAATGCATTGCTAGCTCTAGGCAGTAGCTTCACTAATAGCTTTTGACCAAATGCTTGATTTCGTTCGGTGTTAAATTTGTAGTTGGTTGGCCCAGAGGTATTGGTACAATAAAAGCCCATGGAGTAATCGGTAATGTTTATAAATCTATTGCCAGCTCTAACCAGTGCTTTACGAATAGCCTTTGACCAAATGATTGATTGACTTCTGTGTGAGTGTACAATCTATTGTCCTAGATTTATTATTAGAATATTGAAAATGAAAGCCCACTGAGTAATCGATAAGGCGATTTCTAAATGATGAAAATGGCCTGCAAATCTCTATAGATAGAACAGGGGTAGGTAAGGCACTACTAAAGTAAAGATTTTAAGTTGATTCATTAAATTTCTATGGATATTGAATGCTTTGTGTTTTTTTCACACAAATGTGTCAGAATTGTTGGTACTACATATTTTAATGTTAAATGATTCTATTTATATGCAAATTATCATTAAAACATTCTATTTTACATAATTCTTTTAAAATACTATGTTTTTTTTTTTTTTATTTAAGTCAGAGTTTTACAATATACATAACAAATACAAGCTTCGTTCTATGTCTAAAGATTTAGAAAAGCGACATTGCTATCACACCTTTCTCATTAATTAAGTCACTGACACAATATTCACATATCATAAAAGATCCTATAAGCATTTTACACAAATTTTCTTTTTAAATTTGATTTGATAAAAAAGTAGACGATAATTATTTATAATAACTGTGAAATTATAGTATCACAATTATGATTAAATACAACAGTAAATAAATGAAGTTAAAAGGGAAAAATCTACAAGACACAACTTAAAAACAATAGAGCGCTTGCCTGTCTGAGAAATAAGTAAGGTTTTTATATCTTTATACGGGCTGCACAACTATTACTTCCACCACTTTCATATTTAACAGTATTTATACATATGGAGTGTATTTATTGAAACTAAAATTAACATTTTTGTTCTGCTTTGTGTGTTGATTTGATCTTTGGAATGCTCGCTTTCACAGGAGGATTGGGATAGTCCCGCGGAGACGAACGGTCCGACGGACGGCCACATCACCACTTACACATACCACAACACCAATCAGACCCATCACCACCACACCATGCTTGAGGTAATAATCTATTTGTTCATCTAAGTGGTAACAAACATAAGTTAAAAAAAATAGTTAATAATGAAGATAGAATACAAAATATTATGACTAATATCAAAGTACAAAACATTAACGATGGATCCCAAACTAAGCAGTGCTTGTATCTTGGGAGCCAGAGTTGCCAGATTTGTATAGTTCTCACTTTAATACTCATTGCTATGAAAAAAAATTTTACTGTGGTAGGGCCACGCAGCAGCCTCGGCTGTTGCACGAATGTGCAGGCTCGTCCGGGTAAGTACAACGATCTCACAGAAGAGTGGCGTAAAGTGGAAGTATAATATTTTTGCTGGTGAGCGAGGTGCCCAGAGCTCAATTTTCAAAAGGTTATCAACGCATCTGCAACCCTCAGGTGTAGCAGATGTCCATGGGCGGCGGTATTCACTTAACATCAGGTGTACCGTCTGCTCGCTTGGCAACTTTTCACATAAAAAAAACCAAAGGGAAAAAAAGCAAGAACAGCAAATAAACTGAAAATATGGTTAAAAATAAAATGGAATGTGCAGCAACAGATGGGTGGAGCGGCCAAGGTGGAGCCGCCGCCCGCAGAAGCACACATCGCTCACCACCACCAGGTAAACAGCAGCGGACATTGTCAAATGCAAATTTAAACATGTTTAAACAAAACAGTAGTTCTACACCATCATCTATTGATTGTCAAAGTTCTATTATTACCAGTTCAGGACTGACTGACCAACAGGCTTTGCTGCTATTTATTGTACTTTAAATTTTAACAAAGTACTGACGGTGCCCTAGCTTGTCTTTTATTAAAAAGCTTGAAATTATTTGTATAGTATTGTTCATTAAAAAATATTATAAATAGATCAAACATCACACATGAGACTGGACTTTTATATTTAACAAAAAGTTAACCACTTAAAACCTAAATTTGATTCAAACACTGGTTTGTTAGTTTCAGGACTGGCCTTATGATGTTATGACAATCGAATCAAACCTTTAAATTTAAGTTTAGAATTACCTTAAGTCATTGATAGGAAATTTGGGGCCTGCTAGAATTTTTTTAAAATCCCACCTTTAAACTGGGAATTTAAGTAATGTGCCAAATATATATAAGTTAGCAGTAAAGTCTTGTCGGCCTACTATAATGTCCAAGAATACATTGAGGACAAGGATGTGTGGAAATGACTCTTGCTCTGCACTTGCAAGACCCCTAGCTGCTTCTGATTTTATACCTAAATGTGTATAATTGCATCAAAAAAATATATAACAAAAAGAACAAGACCGCAGAGTTTCTTGCCGGTTCTTCTCTGTGCAGATCTAGTTTAGTGAACCTGTGGTAGATTTTTTGTTGACGTTCAATAAGAGCTTAAGTTAAGCCTATATCGAATAAATATACTTTGACTTTGACTTGACTTTGACTGTGTCAAATTTCTAAGTTTTGAATTAATGCAAGTATAATTATTTATTAAAGTTATTTCCAAAAGAATCTTAATATTATATGAATTTGTTTATCCAATTCACCAATTAAAACAATGTTTCAAATATAATTTTTAATATTATTGTTTATAAATATTTTTTTAATTTTATAATATTACAAATATTTTTTAGCGTTCCGTAATAAATCTAAATGAATTGTGAAGGAAAGCGTTATACTAACAGTCTAAATGAATAAAATACATCTCTGGTTCTACTGAATAATATTTTTTTGCATGTTCCAGCCGATGGGTATGTCCGGCAGCTTAAGCGCAGCACAGTCTCAGTATCTTTCGCAGCTGACTCAGCAATCTCAACGCCACGATGCTAGTATGTACTTTGAATTATTTCTATTGTTTTGGGATGGGAAAAATTCAATCTATTTTAGCTTCAAATAAAGAAGCATTTTATCATACAGGGAAAATTATTATGCATATGGACTAAATACAATACATAAATACGGACAAGACAGAAACTTAGTATATTGTAAATGTAGTAAATTATTATATTGAAATATATTCCATTCAAGCATTGGTATATGCTTTTAGGCAATAATTAAATTCAAATATCGTAATAATGCAGCATAATGCTGCCTTAAACTAGGAAGTATAAGACAGCATTTTTGTAGGATTTTTTCCACTAAAGTAAGTACAACGCTTTGTCAGAAATGACCGAACTGATTTAGCAAACAAATGTAGGCAAGTTACATCTAGCATTCTAACACTTCGATATAAAACTTGTTTTTTCGCATTTTTGCAATTCTTGGTCCATCTTACACTTATTACAGTAAACGACGGTTTTCAAATTTCGAACGATGATTCGAGCAAGTGATGTTGCATTGAATGCCAAGAAACATGTAGATAAAACTCGTTGAGACTCAGGACCGTGGCAATCTGCCGTTTAGCTTAGTGGTTAAAACGTCAGGAAGATTCGGAAGACGCGGGTTCGATTCCCGCGGCGGCGTAAAAATGACTCCATTTTTTTCTAGTAATTTTAACATACATAACGATTTTTTGGAACGGAGAATGAGAACTTAATGATTTATTCAAGACGTGTACACGAGCAACTACGGCGTCTACGGTTCTGCGGACATCAGTGGCCAGAGGAAGACCCAGAGGGCAAGGGTCCCACCGCCGTCCAAGGTACGTTTCAACGGAAATATCTGAGTCTAACAATTGGCTATGGTATCATTCCAAAGATGGTTGTCAATGCGATGCTATTATATTGTTTGTTACTCGGAACTCAGTTTTTAATGAATCAATATTAAAAACTCTTTTGAATTGGGTTTGGTTTAGTTCTCATGTGGTCACATATTAATTTCAATGTTATTAGACGTTAGGCTTGAATTTACAATGTATATTAGATACTTGAATTTGGTTTTATTTCTTAACAAAAATGCACATGGTTAGTCGAGCTGCTAAAAGTTTCAACGAGAGTTTGGCTCTGTTTACGATTGATATTTATATAAGTTCGCGGCTCAGATCCCTTCGTCGGCGGTGGAGATGCCCGGCGGCGGCGAATCCAGCGGCGCCATGTTCCTGGACGTGCAGTTCGGAGCCCTGGAGCCGGACGCCCTGCACGAGCCGGCGCCGCCCCAGCCCCAGCCCCAGCTCCAGCCGCAGCCGCAGCACCAGCCCCAGCACCAGCCCCAGCACCAACCGCAGCACCAGCCCCAGCATCAGCCGCAGCACCAACCTCAGCACCAGCCGCAGCTCCAACCGCAGCACCAGCCCCAACACCAGCCGCAGCACCAGCCCCAGCACCAGCCCCAACACCAGCCGCAGCACCAGCCGCAGCACCAGCCGCAGCACCAGCCGCAGCACCAGCCGCAACACCAGCACCAACCCCAGCACCAGCATCAGGCACAGCAACAGCACCAGGTGCAGACGCAACACGCGCCCACAGCCCACACCCAACCTCCCAAGGTGGGTTGCTTATAATTTTTTTATGTGAGAAGTTGGCCATAAGCTGGCATTTCATCAGATGTTAAGTGATAACAGCTGCCCATGGACATTTGCAACATCCGTAGGGTTGCAGATGCATTGTTAACATAATGAAGAGGGCCCTGGCTACCTCACTAGATACACACACTGCAATTTCAAGGCAGATTTCCGTGAGGTCCTGGTACTTACCCGGATAGACCTGCCACTCACACCACAGTTTCTTTTGTAAATAAATACGTATAAACACCGAGACATCGGAAAAACAACTAATATCATTTACACAATATTTTTTTATAGTGGAAATCAAACCCATACCCTCTGGTACAAAAGTACTGGTAGTATGAAATTTTGTCTTAATATATTAAAGCCAAATTGGTAACTTTTTAACAATTAAAACCAGTCCGAATTGAGACAGTGTGATGCAAAATAGCACATGCAATTTACCTGATGGTAAATGGTTAGCACCATACATGACAATTGGAAACATTGGAAGAGTTTTTACATTCATATACAGCGTGTTGTTACCATCGCGACAATAAATAAACACACGTCTAACACTACTTGCCAATAATCATAAAAAAATATTAACGTTAAACAAAATCCATAATGAAAAAAAATATTTTTTCAAAAAAAAAAACTAAATTTGTAACATCCTATACAACTCGCGCCACAGCGTCGCATTACAAGCCTCTCCTTCTAACGTATGTTTTGTCTCTTTTAAATTCATTCAACCCATTCATGCTGTGTGACCTTTACAAATGAACTTTACGTTACAGTTTTATACGTAAGGGTGTTCTAAAATTGTTTGTTTTGGAAAATTTAATAACTCGGTAAATATTGACGTTTAAAGAATGTAAATGTTTAATACAATTTTAAAAAGTTATCCTCTATATGTGTGTTCATTTATTGTCGCGGCGTTACCACCGCGACAATAAATGAACACACGCTGTATACATAATGAGTGGATATAATAGTACGAACTAATCAAAGATTTGAAAGGATTCCGGAGACATAAATTAAAGTTAGTCCCACTAGGTTAGAATTGCCGCTGTCCATATGAATGGGTGTGCAAAGCCACTGTCATGATGTTTCTTTAAAGGTGCCTTCAGCCACGGAAACCTCCACCGGGGCCGCTGTCCACGAAGTGGCCTCGGAGGCTCCCGGCACCAACTACCCCACTTCCAATGCCATGGTAAACTATGTTACAATTTTTTTTTTTTTTTTCATTTATAACTGCACAAACATTTGATATTAGAAGAATGAATATGAATAGGAGTAGTCAGAATTCTTCTTCTTCTTAATCGGACACTCTTGGCAGAGTGGTCATGGCTGTCAATGGACAGGATTGCGTCAGAATTCTATGACACGGCATTTTTAGCTGGAGAGATTTTGAATTATTATAAGCAGAACATCGGTGTTACATAATTTTAATCGTCATTTGAATTGAAAAATAGAAGATTGACAATTTCTGATGATTGAATGATTAACTGCCGACGCCGTGGTATGACCGCAAAGTGGTAAAGTGTAACGTTACGCTAAATCGCCTGTTATGTACTATGGTACATTTTACCTTGAGTTTGAGACGCATGATGCTGTTATATTAAAACCAAAGGACAAAATTTATATTTATTAACAGTATACTTATTTTAATTGCGTTTATGTACGTCATGCTTAATAATTTCCAATATCTGAAATCAGAGACATTTGACTACCAAAGGTAATACTCAACAAATATTAAATACTAAATTCTTTTAATAATTATTAATTTTATTTTTCAGTTGAACGAAAGTTTATCAGTGGTTGATACGACACCAGCCAGCCAGCCAGTTGCGTCCGAACCGTCTGTCACGAACGCGACGTGTAAGTGTATTTTACACTCGAATAATAGTAATAATAAAGCTAAAATAATAATAACCTATAGTAGTAAAGTTCATGAAATACAAGTACTACCGGAGGGTGTGCTTGAAAATGACAAGGCCATTACTCTAAGATTATTTTAATGATAAATAAACTTTCATGAGAAAATTATTAACGAATTAATACGACGGCTGTAGTCACGTTTAATACTGATTAAATACATACACTGGTACATACACTGGTATGTACCAACTAGTCAATAGTCTTTTGGCTTACCTTATTATTGGGTGCGATTTTTGCGAATAAACCATTATGGAATACCATTATGGAATGGTACCAGGTTTTGCGTATGGAGTGACGAGAGCATAAATAGCAGTAATATACTTCTGCGTTTCGTCTGGCGAGTGAGGTAGCCGGGGCCCATTTTCCTAAAAGGTGGTAACCTGCAACCCTACGGGTATTGCACATGTTACATAAATAATTGATACATAAGTTCGTAAAAGTAAAGTAAAGCAACAGCCTATTAAAGTCCCACTGCTGGGCAAAGGCCTCCTCCGGACTTCACATATTTTTCGAAACCTTTTATTATTATCGTTTCGAAAATATGCAGGTTTCCTCACGATGTTTTCCTTCACCGCCGAGCACGTGATAATTCAACACTTAAAATTAACAATTTCATTGGTGCCGGCACCGGGCATCGAATTCAGGTTGCTCGACTAAATGTAATTAAAGGCGAGCGCCCAGACACTGAGCTATCACGGCTCTGTTAACTCGTAAGCTCTGTAAGTTCGTAACTTACCATTATAGTGCTAATCTAATAGTATAGTGATAAAATATGTTACGATTTTTGTCAGTGTGGCAATTAGCCGTTTTGCTTAGTTGGTTCGTTTCACGCCAAAAGTAAAATTTTTCCACAGACTTTTGAATCGACAAATTTGTTAAACTTTCCAGCGTTAGAGAAGCAGCTGTCGGCGTCGATGAAGCAGCTGTCCGTGTCGGCGGTGTCCGGTGTGTCGGCGGTGTCCGCAGTGTCGGGAGCGGTGTCGGCGGTGTCGGGCGCGGTGTCGGCGGCGGCGGCGGCGGCGGCGGAGGCGAACGCGCCCGTCAGCGCTGCACCGGCTCCGGCACTACACGCCCCGCCCCATTACGCACACCACAGGCCAAAGGTAACCGACCGCTACTGATCATAATGCGTTTTATCTAAGCTCTTTCAAGTAAAGTAATACATGTCCTGCTGGACCTAGGCCTCCTTATACTCATTAACTTATGTTAAAAAAAAATGTCCCGCTGAAACTTGCTAAAAAAAATGTCTCGTCGGTTCTCCTCAGGTCAGTATCTTCTTTTCCGAACCAGTAGTAATTTTTTTTGACACTCAATAAAGAAATTTGAAGTTACTACCCCATGGCGCAGTTGCCAAGATATTGGCTCCAGCGCCGTGGTTCGTGGGTTCGATTCCTATACGGGAGAACTGCTTGTGTGTGTATTGGATCTGGGTGTTTGTCCATATGAGATTTATGTACGTAATTTGTCCCTACAACACTAGTATAGTACAATAGTATAGTGTTGTAAGGATAATACAACAATAGTGTTATCCTACAGTAAGGGGGCAATGTTTTCGAAGGGAAAACTACACAGGGGTTTTTGGAACTTTCTAACAAACCCTTTTACACATAATATTTAGTATTTCTTTTTAACTCCTTTCACTGATTCACGATAAAATATTGGCTTAAACATCTGCTCTGTAAAGGTTGTGTGGTCGACTCAACACTCAACTCAATTTTTCCTTGCAGACAGTGGGACAGCAGAATGTCTACCCACACCATGCTGTATCACATCATCCGCCTGTGTACGGTGCCAATGTGTATGCACCACAGGTTGGTATAAAATTTACACTATAATAGATAGCAAGCACTGTATCAATAGATGATCACTAGTTTTAGTCATTTCAGTACCAAGGGAGGGTACCCATCATACACAATTGACACTGAAAATTTTACATACCAGGGCGTACCTGCTCATTCGTACTACAGGGTAGACGTTTGCATGGCCCTACCACATTGAAAATGTTATAACATTACAATAAAACACTATAAGATTTCTCAGAATACATCGTGTATAAATATGCTCTTTCAGGTGAACTCAACAAATGCTTCACTGACAGGGGCCTCTGGCATGACTGCTACGGCCTACCCCTCCAGTGTAACTCTCACACAGTACCAGCCAATGATCAATTCATATCAGGTGTGTTGGTATCCCAGGTCCACCAAGGACCTAACAGTCAGGGTATTACGGAGACATCAAACTAACAACAACTAATTTAAAACGCATACTCGCGTATGATACGCGAGTGGTGTCCCTAGTCAAATTTGAGGAAGGCGGTAATTTGCCTTTTAAAAAGACACTGAATCGATTTTTATTTATTTATTTTATTTATAATTTATGTACACAAAAAATAAGAAAGAAATGTAATTACATTAAAGGTTTTGTACAAAGGTCCTGCTCATTTCTTAAGAAATTTCTTCTAGCAGACCTGTGACTGGAAATTTGTCACAAATGGTAGTTAATGGTGTGCATTTTAATATTTAATGTTAATTAAAAATTACCAAGTGATTAATTCAAACGGATTTTCCGTAACAGACTGTCCCTAACACTAAAAGAAACGGGGGTGGTAACCGCTGCCTCGGCATTTTCTTCATCGACGGTTCATTCCACTTCGCGTTACTATGCGTAGAAACCTCGGGCGCAAACTAAGGGTTATTGAGGAACAAGGTGCCAGCAACGGGTACAGCTCCTCTAAACTAATTATTGCTCAGTGATCCGTGATTAGTGATGGTGAAGAAGAGTTATTGTGTATTTTGCTTGCAGACTTCTGCATCGGCTGGCGCGTACGGTGGCAGTGCGTTGTATACAGCGGCGCCATACACCGCATACCAGCCCTCGCCACAGCCTAAACCCCAGCCGAAGGAACCCCATCAGGTACACTGTTCAGGCCAGACAATAGCCTTCATCCATTCTGTGCCTGTTGCACATATGGCTGGTCCATCTGTGTGAGTACCACCACAGAAGGCGTGAAGTGGTAGCAGTACACATGCATTTAAAAGTCAAAGTATATTTATTCAATATAGGCTTAACTTAAGCTCTTATTGAACGTCAACAAAAACCTACCACCGGTTCCCTAACCTGCACAGAGAAGAACCGGCAAGAAACTCTGCGGTCTTGTTCTTTTTGTTCTTTTTTTTTTTTGATGCAATTATACAAACTTATTTTTTTTTTTTTTTTTTAAACATTGCCCTTACTTTAGGATAACATTATCCTGTGTTGTAAGGACGTTTTACAAACATAAATTTCACGCGGACAAACACCCAGATACGAAACAACTACCTGTGGGTCACACAAATAGTTGTCCCGTGTGGGAATCGAACCCACGACCCCCGACGTCGAAGCCAATACCTTGGCAACTGCGCCACGGAGTCATCTAATTACTTATTTAGGTATAAAATCAGCATTTGTTCATAAAATTTCGTCTCGTGTTTGAGGCTGCTGGGGTTCGCTTTATTTAAACGTGACAACGCATCTACAACCCTACGGGCGTTGCAAATGTCCATTGGCGGCGGTTATCACTTAACATCAGGTGACCCGCTAGCTCGCTTGCCATCTTCTCGCATAAAAAAAACCTCACTTTTATCTTCACTTTCCTCTATTTTGGCCTGCGAAATTTGCAAAGTACCAAATGGCTTTTTTTATATCTTTTATTTAAACAATTTGTCAATTCTCTCTTATATTTTCGGTCAATAGCGGCAAATTTAGCTTTAAAAATGGTGTTTGAATCATCAAATTTAATTAAGAGTTATGGAATTTATGGCGTTTCGACAAAAAGCACCTTTGAGAAATAATGTATTATAGATATACCAGTTTATTGCATTTACATTTGGGATTACTTTAACATTTTGCTGTATATACGTTGACACTGGCGAATATTTACAAACCGCCATGAAGTAAAAAGAGGAATAAGAATGTTTAGCTTATGCCGATGTGTTTGCTTTAACGGTTCTCTTTTTTCTTTTCCAGTATGACAATTCCGTTGCATCAAGCAACAGCCTCACTAGCACGTCCACGACGCAGACCTCAACGGCCAAAGTTACGACCACGACAGGTGCGTAGCCAAAATTGGTCACACGGCGGAGTGGACACCACATGGAACATAGCATCTTATCCATGTGATCTTATTTTTTTTAAAACATTGCCCCTTGGGGAATTATCGTGTGTTGTGAGGATGTTTTACCAAAGTAAATTTCATTCGGACAAACACCCAGATGCGAAACAACTATCTGTGGGTCACACAAATAGCTGTCCCGTGTGGGAATCGAACCCACGCCACCGACTACCTTGGTAACAGCGCCACAGAGACTTAAACATTTCGCTTCAAACTACTCTCGTTCCATTCAACCTTCCTGAACAAATGCTGAGATCAATGGACTTCCCAAGATAATGTCACCCGGGCAACACTCCATTATTGTTTCATCATGCTTGGGTTAATAAAGACTATCACATATCAGCTATCCCAAAGAAATAAGCAGTTGGCAAAGTTCCAAAACCATTTATTGCACCGTCTGTTGTCTAAATGTTATATGAGATGGTTTTGTTGTTGTCTTCCCAATATGTACATAGAAATGTTCATGTATGTCCATAAATATCAGCGTGAATTTTCACAGCATAGTAATATGCAAGATATAAATATTTTGAACAAATATCGGTATATTTACCCACGATTATAGACTGTGTAGAATAAGTAAATCTTTTATGGGTCAATGTAGAATGTTTCTACAACAAAATCACAGATGACATTCAATATGTACCAAATTGCTAAATTCAATAAAATTGTAAAGAAAGGTTTGTGTGTTACTGGTTATTACAATATTAGTGATTATTTCAATGATAAAACACTGAAAATTAATCGATCGCTCTAGAATTATATGAATTTGAATTCATTCGGTGCAGTGAGCGGGACGAGTGCGACCGCTACGAACGCGGCGGGCATGGGCGCTACGACGGGCGGTGCTACGGCGGCGAGCGCTGCTGCCGGCGGCGCTACGGCGGGCTACGCGGGCGGCGCGCTTTACGGCGCGGCAGGCGCGCCGGCCGCCTACACCTACGACGAGCAGCTGATGCGAGGCGCTCTGCCACACCATATGGTGAGTGCTAGCCACGCGTGCCACTAATGCCACACGTGCTGTGCCACTGATGTGAATTTAATTACATGAGTGACAACAATCTTTTTTAACTGTGGTAGGGCTACTCAATAGTTTTTGCTATTGCACAAATGGCCAGGTCCGCCCGAGTAAGTACCACAACCTCAAAGAAGCATGACGTGTAGTGTTATAGTTTCTGTGAGTGAGGTAGCTAGGACCCATTTTATCAATAGGTGAGGCATCTGTAACATGCATATGCATCCCTATGGTTTTGGAAATGTCTATTTTGCGGCGGTTATCCTTCAACTTGCTGACAAAAAAAAAAATTCGGAACAAGCTAGCTAGCATTAAAGCCTTTATCTTCTTGAGGTACCTTCAAATAGTGAAAGTCAGTTATCAGCTTGTTAGTATTCCATCTGTTTGGCTTTGCGGAACATTAGGTTCTATTGAGTACTTATTTTATGCCGTTTTGCACTCTATAATAATATTAGCATGATATATAATGTTCGAGTTGAAGAGTAAACCTCAGTTGAGATGAGAAAACACAACGAATTTGAGTCCGGCGCCGGTTGCAGGGCGGGTACTACGAGGCGGGCTACGTGGCGCGGGAGGGCACCTTCGGCCTGGGCGCCGGCGACCGCTTCGGCCGCACAGACGCCGCCTCGCCGCAGCAGGTACCACACCACCACCACCACCACCATACTTACTGCCCTACACTTACTAAGCTGCCCTTACTACCCTACACTTCCTACAGTGATGTACTCCATGGCGCAGTCATGAAGGTATTGGCCTCAACGCCGGGGTCGTGGGTTCTATTATATATTCATTATATATTCACACACGAGACCCGTACTCCTGTGACCCACAGATAATTTTTCCCCATCTGGGTGTATGTAAAACGACCTACACTAGGACAACACTAGGTAATGTGATCCTATAGCTGTGTTTTTGAAGGAAGATCAAAATAGTTCTTCTAGGTCGAATTGGTCATTACAACTTAATACCCCTTCCATAAAAATCATTCAATGTACGTATCTCTGTTAAGGTGCGTATTTATAATGCTTTTCATTTTTTAGGTGCCGACCGCCGCTCTACCTCCAGGATACGCTTACTTCTATCAGCCACCTCCCACGACGTACCAGTATGGAGTTTACCCCACGGTGAGTAATTCATTATAAGTCTTTTATATGGACCCTTGTGAATGATATTCCAGCTATCATTCCATACACAATATAAACCTTTATCGGGCACTGAATTCCATACACAATATAAACCTTTATTGGGCACTAAATTGTAAAGGCCAACTTTACACTCAATCTATCAAACTCAAGAAATCTAAGCAGAGTAATACGGGAATAATAGGCAGTCTAAATTAAAATTAAATGAAAATCTATTGTGTAGCACTTTTCATAAACAACCGGTTTGTTATTTACTAAAATGGTTGAAAAAATAAAAGGTTTAAAAACAAAATTTGTCTTTTGTTTAATATCTTGCATGATAATTACATATAAAACCGTTTAAAAACTTTTAACTTAAACGGTTTTATTTTATGTTTTTTTTGTTAAATTTTTTTTGTTAATATTGTATTGTCATCTAAATTAAATGTGTGTACCAAATTTCAGATCAATCTGACAACGGGAAGGTGCTTAAATTTCAATTTCTAATTTTGACCCAAATAAATAAACAAATTCCGTACGTGTCGAGCTAAATAAAACCGTTTAAAAATAGATGTATCTCTTCTATATTAATTCACTTTTAAAATGATCACAACACAGCTTGACTCCATGGGCATTAAAAATCTACTAATACTGCTTTTTTTAATATGTGAAAAGTTTCCAAGCAAGCAGGCGGTTTACCTGATGATAAGTGAATACACCCAGCAGTTGTGTTGACAACCTTTTGAAAATTGGGCTCCGGCTACCTCACTCACTCACCATACGAAACGCGAAAGCATTATACTTCCACTTTACGCCGGTCTCCTGTTAGATCATGGTGATAGCGCGGACAAGCCTGCCCATTGGGGCAACCGCGAGGCCCTACCAGCGTAAATGTGTAACGATGCTGCGGTTTCAGTACGGCGGCAGTTCGAGCGTGGGCGGCGTAGGCGGCGTGGCCGGCGTGGGCGTCTCTGGCGGCGCGAAGGTCTCCGCCTACTCCCAGCAGCAGCAGCCACCTTATGATGCGCAGGACTCGTACAAACCTGGTGCGGACTCTACTATGAATTTTTAATTTATTATTACTTATTTATATTCAAATATCTCTCTTCGTATTCATTTCATTATTGAATTTTTGAAGTTCCCTAAGTATCTCCTAAGCCCAAGATCCAATAACAATGAAATTAATATGGGACCACATTGGAAGCACCAGCTTTCAAATAAAAAAAAGAATCATCAAAATTGAACCACTCACACTCAAACATAAAATAGAATACAGTTGAATTGAGAACCTTCTCTTGATAATTATCGTAGATTATTGATAACTGTGACAACCTTTGCATATTTTATGTGTGTGTCATCACTTACACAAATCACAATTTGTGTAAGTGATCGCTAAGTGCGTGATTATGAAATTTTTGTTCGTGCAGGCGGCGCCTATTCCGGCAGCGGTGGTAAAGCGGCGGCTGGCGGGGCGGATCTAGCCAACGTCATGTACAACAAGGCGCATGTTGCGCTAAACAAGGTGGGTTTTGGACACATCCATGATAAGTCAGCACTTAAAGTTAAAACCTTCATTGGTGCCAGCACCAGGGAACAAACTCGGTTGCTCGAGTATAATTAATTAAAGGCGAGCGCCCACACACTGAGCTATCATGGCCATAGTACATAATTACATATTACATACTCCATTATTGTCCCTACTTGGGGGATAAGGCAAAGATAACAAGTTGGCCAAAGAAGCCTAGTCTCATAAAATAATTATCATAAAATAATATAATATGTTTACCAATTTTTTAAATTGATTATAAGAACATATAGGTAAGTATTAAAAAATGGGCCAGAGATATCAGTACAGGCATCTCTTTCTGAATTAATCGAAATCGGGTCTTGTTTTTAGTCAGTGTTTTACTTGTTATATAACACTACATCCGTACATTTACATGCTACAAGGTATTTATATAGAAAATACGTTAAGATACGTCGATCTGGCAGTCAGTCGCCTCGGGGTTAAAGCTAAAGACTTGGTTCGATTCCCACGGCGGCGAAGAACTTCTCGTCCGTTAGTCTTACAAGTTTTCGTTTTCAACGATGATCCCCCCACAGAGCTACGAGAAGGCGACGGCGTTCCACAGCGGGACCCCGCCGCCCTTCGGCGCTGGCTCGCACCTCTACATCCCGGCGCCGCCCCACCACCACCCCCACCACCACGCGCCCCAGCAGCACCAGGTCAGCAGCCGCCACCACCACCACCATCACCCCATGTCTTACTCCACTTGTCTGACCAGCAACATTTTTTTTACTATACTAAGTTATGATTACAAAGGAAAAAAAATTATTGCATTTCTATACACACCATACATAATATTACATATTACAACATTAGGCACAAACTAAAGTTAAGGACTAAAATATTAAACCTTGTGTTAAATGATGACCGCTCCCTATTGAAATTTGCAACACCCGGATAAAGCCAAAACCTCAGTCACCAGACGAAACGCAGAAGTATAACACTTCCACTTCGCGCCGGTCTTCTGTGAGGTCGTGGTACTTTCCCAGATATACCTGCCCATTCGTGCAACAGTAAAGACTTGCGTGTCCCTACCACAATTAGGACTCATATATATGGACTTATATAATAACACGCACATTTGCAAACTTCACATATCTGTGAAACATTTTGTTATTATTTCGAGAATATGCAAACCTCCTCATGATGTTTTTCTTCACCGCTGAGCACTTGATAAGTCAGCACTTAAAGTTAAAAACTTCATTGGTGCCGGCATCGGGGATCGAACTCAGGTTGCTCGAGTATATTGAATTAAAGGCGAGCGCCCGGACACTGAGCTATCACGGCCCGTGGTAATTACTATACAACCATTTATAATACTATCAAAATTAATTGTTGTTCCTTACATGTTTCTTATAGTTCAGTGAACTCTATTTACTCTTTTACACTACTTAAACGCCAATACATTATACTTAACAACAAACCTCATTTCCATACTGATAATGCTGGCCTTAAATATCAAATTTCTTTATCTTAAAGATAAAGAATTTAGATTTTCTTCAAATTTAAAATAACTCAATTCTAACTTAGGCCTGTCACTGTTCACTGTAAATAGCATACCATTTTGTTAATATGAGAAATGGCTATAATTAGTATTGCATTTCTTATTATCACAATAAAGAAATGCAATACTAAAATAAAATTACGTTTATAAATTACAATGATATGTTTAAAATGAGACAATTTGTCAGGAAAATTCTATTAATACAATCTATATTTCATTTCCGAGTAGTTTAGTACACTTAGCATGTAATTGAAGTTGTTGTTTTCTATTCTGAGATTGATTACTGTATTAAATTGTTTTCCAATGCATGTGTCACGGTTGTATTTTATATTTTATTTTTTTGTTTTATTGTATTTCTTAGAGTTTGCTTTCGTTTGTAGATGGATGTTCGGGTGAACAGTAGTCATAATAGGCGGGTAAGTTTATATATATTATGTTTATTATTTGTCGACATGTCCGTATGCACGTATCATTTTATATTATATGTATATATATATTTAATATAATTACGTATTACCCGCCTCTATATATTGCATGATTATAATTGATGATATTATGCTCTATTTCTTATAGCAATATTATTATTACCTATATTTATTTGTACAGATGACTACAATTTAATTGTGGTAGTTATTAAGTAAAGTTTTATTTTTATTTTGTAACTATCATTGATTGTAATTTGTTAACACACAAACAATTTAAAGTTAATATACTGCCTTGTCAACCCCAGTTCTGCTTTGGAACATATTCTTAAATACATACAAATGTAATTATGCTATTTGTATTTAATTTATTATCACATATTGACCACTCCATATAAAATTTAATACATCACATTAATTTCATCATCACCAAAGCTGAATTTTGTCTATGAAATTCACTATACACGTCCACTAACATTCGGTTATAACTCGCGAAAAACTTAAAAGCTCCTCTGTGAAGGGTATTTCGTTACTTTTGCGCATATGTACTATCGAGTGCAAACATCGAGAATTGACTTACAATAAATCGTGTTCACAAAGCCTAATGACGAAGTTGTTCGCGACTGCACATGAATGCGAAGTGCGAGCGGGACGGAGAGCGAATTACAGCGCGGTGCGGAAGAGAGGGAAATACTATGCCCGTATTATATTAGGATTTGTAGATCTTAGGAGCGTTTAAGTATTGGCGTGCTGTTGTGCTTATTTTGGCCTGATATTTGACCTGAAAAAATATCGATGTTTTTAATTTTAAATATCAATATTTTTACCTGATATATCGATATAAAATATTCAATATCATAATCATATCAAAAACGATATTTTTTCAAATTCGAATCCGGTTCAGAGTCCGTAGATGTCAAATATTTAATACTATACAAATCTTTTTTTTTGTAATACGGATGCTAAACAGATCCTATCGATATACTTCTTCACTTTCGACATCCCTATTTTGACCCGTTCTTATCGAAAATACCGCATATTGCTTTGTTAATAAATTACAATGTTTGGTTCAAGTCTGTCACAACTTGCATCAATTACAGCTTTCTCTAGATTATTTCCCAATGCATAAAAACCAATGTCATATTTTATTATTTTCTGTATTAGTTTGATTGATCAAGTCGTGTACAAAATCATGACTCTCCAGAAACTATTGCATACAAGCGATCACATCAAACACCGCATTCCCTGGAGAAACGGCCACTTCTTTATAAGCATCTGCAACCTTCCAGGTTTAATATATTTATGTGTTTAATCGCTTAACATAAGGTGAACAGCATGCTTGTCAACTTTTGATATAAATAAATGTAACTTTGTCTTTGTTTCGTTGAAAATCTGCCAATAAGTCGGTATTCACTCAATGACATTTGGTCTTACTTTGTGTCATTTTTTAGTATTAGAAGAAGGCAAGAGAACTAGCGGTTCACCTGGTGTTAATTGATGAATGTTGCCATTTTATTTAAATTGGCATTTGCAACATCCATGGGGTTGCAGATGCCACCTTTTCATAAAGTTGTCCTCGGCTACCTCACTCACAACACCCATAGGGTTGCAGATGCGTTGCTACACATAAATACCACCAAGTATAATACTTCCACTGCAGGCCGGTCTTCTCTGAGGTTGTGGTACTTACCCATACGGAAATGTCCATTTATGCAAGGTTTTATGGCCCTACCACAGTGGAAAAAGATATGCCATATCATCCATTAACTTTTAATTCATTATACTCAAGCAACCTAAGTTCAAATCCCGATTCCAGCTCCAATGATAATGTTAATTTTAATTCTGATTTATCACATGCTCGGCGGTGAAGGGGCACATTGTGAGGAAACCTTAATATTTTCGGAAGATATGTGACGTCCGCCAATCCTATACCTTCTGTTCAGAGGAGGCCTTTGCCCAGCAGTGAGACATGCATAGATTGATATTTTGCTCTTACATCATTAACATAAGGTCGCTTTTCGTTTGCAGCAGGAGAGCGGCGCCGGTGGCGGTCGCAGCTCGTCCTCGAAACCGACCGCCAGCAAGCCCACCTACTCGCAGTCCTATTGGGCGCCCAATTAGCCCTATACGGTAAGTGACCAATGACCATACACTTTCGCTAGACCACGATTGATCCTCAAGTCGCAGCGGTCTTTGGGACTTCTACCCAGTTCCTAACACACTCTCAGTTTGCTTTCAGTTTTTTTTTTTTTAAATAAATAAATTCATTTTATAAATATATAAACACCCGGAGACTGGAAAAACCATGTTCTTCACACAATATTTTTCCAACAGTGGGGATCGAACCGACAACCTCTCGCAAGCGACAGGTGCACTATCCAATCGGGTGAATATTTATTTTCAATAAATATCACTAATTTGATTCTCTTTCCGTTTCAGGCGCACATCCTCCAAGTCGTCAGACAAGTGTACATAGAGCAGGGCTCACCCTCCCCCCGGGCGCCGCGAGCGCATCTCTTCTCACCGCCCCCCTGCCCGTTCCCCTGCGCCCCCTCCCCCGTCGCCCCCACAGCCCCCGCCCCCGCCCCCTACCCCCCCGAGACCGCCCCCGCTGGACGCTCGGACTTGGACACGCAAGCGCCGCCATCGCTCTACGCTCGGATATTGCACCTCCTCGGCTCGAGGGGCTTCCCCGGCCCCGGCACCGGCACGGTGCTCCCCGGGCCGAGCCTCCCCGCGCCCGTAGAGCCGACCGGCTGGCGAGGACCGCTGGCTCCTGGCTCGCGTGCGCCGCTGGCTCCCGGTTCCCGTTTACCGCTGGCTCCTGGCTCGCGTTTACCGCTGGCTCCCGACTCGCGGGCACCGCTAGCTCCCGGCTCGCGTTTACCGCTGGCTCCCGGCGCTAGAGGACCGGTGGCTCCTGACTCGCCGCCGACTCCTGGCTCACTCGGCACCGGATCTAGCGGATCGGCGGCGGGCTCGCGCGAGCTGGTGGACACTCTAGCATCAGAGGCAGACTGGTGGCGGGCGGCGGCTGGCTACGTGCAGCCGGCGGCTGGCTCGTTCGACCCCGCGCCCGGCTCGCAAGGGCCCTCCCCATGAATGTGCGCCGTTCTCGAGTTACTGTGTCGTCTAAAGCACCATCGCCGAGCACTCGAATCGCCATCGATCTCTCTAACGACGACGCCAATTATCGCGGTGTCGTCGTTATAGTGTTTGTATTTTTTTTTTACAGTCCTAAAATGGACCGGTCGATGGCGATGCGGGGCACGGGACTATCCCTCGAGCCCGATATATCTATTCGTGTCGCGTGATTATTTGAAATTAGAAGAAAAGTCTCAACGTTTTCTCGTATCGCGTATAGAAATGTGCGACGCGTCATTGTATTATATGCTATGGAAGGGATGTCTCTATTCTCCCGTCCTTTAGGGCGAAGGAACTGTGTAGTGAGCAGTGAGCGTTATTTTTTTTTTCTCTTCGTCAAATCATCCTAGTGTAGTGGCGTCGTGTGGTGCCCGCATCATGTAGATTGTTTTTTCTGCAAGCGGCGGAATCGCCGATAAGGCGTTTGGGGGCGTCGCTCCTTCTCTTTCGCGCCCACGAAATCCCCCTCTTGTTGTCCCTTTCGCACGCGGCCCCGTCGACGTATCTCAATTATTCTCGCGTAAGTGCCCTCCCCCAGCTGATGCGTATAGGTTTACAAATTGTTTTTTTTTTTATTATTATTAAATTAACAGTAGTTATGTATATCTTATCTCTATATATATAATATGTATATGAATGTAAGTGTTTGGTGCGCTATGCGCGCTGAAAGTTTTTTGTATTTAGTTGACGGACTTTTTGTAATTAATATAATTATTGTGAAAAAAAAATATGAAAGTATGTCTTAGATGGGTAATCGTAATGTAAAACTGGTAACCTTATTATAAAATAGTCGAGGTCTTTTTTTATGTGAACGAATGCTGTCATGATCTCGCGGGCATTTGAGAGTACGAGGGAAAATACACATTGAAATATGAGTGGCATTTTCATTGTTATTTATTTATTCACGATGCTGCTTGCGAGTGTGCGTATGTGTGTGTGTACATAGCTATAGGATATTCGAAAAAACTTTCAAACGAAAAGAGTGCAAAAAATTCAAAAGAATCCATACAATATGTTTAAAACCAAATTTGTTAGAAAGGCACCCATTGCGTTAATAAAAAACTGTAAATTTTTACGAGTGATTTTAATCAATTGTATAATAGCGAAAACATATCAATTTGGTAATAAAATATTACCAATACTGCGTCCAACATAATACCAGTACTGGCAAACTACTGACTGATAGACTTACGCCCGGTTTCTGAAAAACTGATCATCGTAGAAGCTAACTAATCAGCTGTCAAATGGGTCTTCAAATGTTATTTGAGTTGCCAAAAGGATTGTTAAACTCTCTGAATTGATCGGAATGATCTTAATGATTAGAACGCAGCGCTTTTTTTAATGATAAGTAAGACAAACAGAAAAATTAAGATTTATACTTGTTTCATTTACAATCGAGAATACATTACTTACGGATTACGGAAACCATGGATTTTTTTTTGTTTTACATTTTCGCCGAAACGAAGATGAAGTGTGAAATTTGGAATCATTCTCCAACAAATTAATAAATGTAACAGTTTTGACACCTTTATTGTACCAATATATAACAAGGAATGTAAAATTTTTACAAAAATATTTCGTCCCAGTCCCATTTAACAATATCGTAAACCAACACAATACTCAGACAAATTGCTTCCAGATATAAATCACAATTTTTAAATTTTTAAACATTCTCAGAGGCATACAATAGTAACACCACATTTTTTAAAATTATATTTCTTACTCTATTAAAATTCCAAGAACAAATTCTACACAACAGTATAAATCATTAAGTCCCGTAGGATTTAATGATATACTGTTGTGCGTCGTAACGCCTAATTAATAAAATATCCAATCGTATACGACATCTAAAGCAATAATGGATTCAAGGATTCACTCGGCATTTTTGCCTCCTGTAAAATTTATTTTGTCACATAATGCTGTATACCTCTGTTGTACAGCATTAATTTTTAACAAAATATTTAGAAATACCCAAGGCAAAATATATAAAGAATATTTTGATATATCTCAACAATTTATTATTTTGTGATTCTAACCGTTTTATGTAACTACATATGTTGCAAGGATAACAATGTAAAAATTTGTAAAAAAAAAACTGACACTGGAAATGTTTTAAAGTAGGTATTTAGATACTTATTATGTAATAATTTGTCTTGTCTTCAGTTGTTATCTTCGTATCCCATTTATGACAAGTATATGAAGACAACAGTGGTCACTTTCGGATCTAAGATAAATTTACCCGATTTAGTTGGGACAGCCATTAGCTGTCATGAGTACTCCTAACGCACACAATAATTAAACAGTATGCGAAATATAGTGTGAAGAAAGAGCTAAAGTAGCAAGAGGGTATGATATGAACTTAACGGACTTAACTTTCTTACATGTATTTTTGGTGATTTTTTATAGAATAATTATTGTTAAAATATATTTAGCACTAAATATTTTTCTTTCTATGTTTATGTCTCTATCCCACTAATATTAATAGGCGCGTTCTTTAAACTTTAACCTCTAGCTACAGTAGCGCCATCCTTATTTGACACTTCTATAAGGTTCTCCTCTCTACATTCCATAATGCGAAGTAAGAAATGTAAGCTATCCTATCCTATCATATGTATCATATGCCATCCCAGTACTGTTGTAAAGTGTTGAACAAAAATTTTATAGAACACATATACTAACTGCATGAATAGTAAAGATGACTGAGGTGAATTTCCCACTTGTATAACTTGAACGAAAGACATTTTCAGCTTATGAAACAAAGTTATCCCAAACCGATTAAGAACATCTCTTATAGGTGAGCCGCTGCCCCATCATCCACTATCCAGTAAACATTGCCATTCTCCGGGTTCACCCTGGCAGCAGGAAGGTCTTCCTTTTCCTTTAAAATACGCTGAAATTGAAATAAAGAAACATCAATCAATATTTTACTTATTCCTCCATCAAAATGGAGATGCATGTAAAATGTTGAGATTGGCTACATTTATAAAAAAGCAGACAATATTTTTATGAAAGATATTATTATGCAAAAACACACATATAGCAAGAAAAGTTTTTAGATTGGAAGATCAAACTAATGATACAGTCTATGAACTTTTTTACGCTGTGCTTTTGATTTGATAAGGTTTCTATCTATATTTATCATAAAGTATAAAATTGAAATACATATTTCGTATTTTATGAATATGGCATTTTTTAGGTAATGAAGAATCAAACTTTATAATGAAATAAATCAGAAAGGTCTAATACCTTTTTTGGCAAATTTGATTCTTTTAAGTTGTAAAGTAGTTATAACAAACATGTGGGAATTTCAATGACAATCATATTAAAATCTTTGATTTTTTTATAATCATGAAAACTTAATGTCTTTATACTTCTAAACTAATCCATTATACAGACGAAGATACTTTCAGGTTCCTATGAAAATTCAAAGTGAATACCTCATCACATATCAAGTGCATGTCCATATGGGTCATCAAACATGTGGAAACTAGCTTTTTCACAGTTTTATTCAATACAGATTTACTTATCCTCAGATTGAAACTTCTTATACTTACTTTAATCATGTCAGCCTTGCCAGCGCCACTGCATGCAAAAATACAGTTTCTAGCACTATTTATAACTGGATAAGTTAATGTTATCCTTTCTGGTGGGGGCTTTGGAGAGTCTGTAATGGCCGCTACTTTTAAGTTTTTCTCATCAAGTAGGGGATGCCCGGGGAATAATGAACATGTATGCCCATCAGGCCCCATACCGAGCAAAAGCAGGTCAAACTTAAATTCATCACTTTTGAAAGCTTCCTTTAATTTTTCATTGTAATCTACTGCAGCTTCACTTGCTGAAGAATTAAATAACATAATTTTAATAAAAATAAATGAACACATAAAAATTTTTCTTAAAAATTATTTTTTTACAGTGATCTGCAAAATTAAAACCTATGATTTTTTTGTGACAGCATTGATTATTGTTTCGAGGTTGATTTTTAAAAAATAGATCATTATTGCTATTTTAAAAGATAAATAAAATACATAAATTAAAACAAGTATATACCTAACTTATAAAAAATTATTTCTTTCAATTTGTATATAGTGTGTATAAATATTATGACATGTAAAGAAAATGATTGCAGTGTTTGTTCATTTACAATCAAAGCAAGTAAAATATCCATTGAAATATAAAAAAAAGATTAACTGCTGCATGTAATAAATACCTGTTACGCCTTGCTTTATAACAATAAACTGGTTTTTATCCAATTTGGTTTTAGGTATTAGTAGCCTATTGTAACAACCAAATGTAGAGTCCCCACTGTCTTCAGGTACCACTCTCTCGTCACAAAATGCTAGAGTCCATTTTGACCAATCTGTGCTTACTGAGGGGAGACCCTCGCATAAATATTTCACAACAGATCCTCCTTAAAACAATAGAACAATAAAATAAGACAATATAATAACTTAGACACACTTATATGAACTTTTAACTAAGATGTTCAAACATCATTTCAAAAATTTACAGGAAAATGTGTATAAAACAAGAAAGAGAATAAAATGTTAATAATAACCTGATAAACCAACAAAAAATCTTCCTCTGTTCAAAATTGCGTCATTTGATATTTTCTCTACATATGAGGAAAGTTTTGTGATAATTTCTTGTTCGTCAGCAACTTTAATTACCGTCATTATAGTTTAATGTTTATAAAGTTAATTTATAACGAAATAGGTTATAAATAAATGAGAAATTGGACAAAGATGAAAAATATGTAACCCTTACTACAGTAGGTTTTTCTATGTGAAAAACGGTAAATGGAATAAATGAATCAATGAACTAAAAATTATAATAAATCTTATCTTTTATGAATTAGACAAATAAATGACCTCATATAGAAGTGGGCGATACAAATCGTATCAGATATGAAAACTAGATATTAGTAAAATGTCCGAATATCGCTTACTGGCTCGTTCAATATATAAGTATTTTACAATATCTGATATTTCCGAAATCTGATGTAACGTGCTCGCTCGCTATACCGACACGAATCGCGATATCATACGCGTTTGCCACAATATCTGATTTTTAAACAGATTTCGAGAGACAAAGCGCGTGAGATACAAATACTCACTAGTTAAAGCGGGACGGCAAGCAATGCACGATATCAGATATCGAGCGACAAAGCGCGTGAGATATAAATACTCAGTAGTTAGAGCGGGACGGCAAGCAATGCACGATATCAGATTTTTAAACAGATTTTGAGCGACAAAGCGCGTGAGATACAAATATTACACTAGTTAGAGCAGTACGGCAAGCAAGGCACAATATCAGATTTTTAAACAGATATTATGAATAAGTTAAGTAATTTTGATTCTTAAACTCATACAAATAAGATCCGTTTCAATTAAATACTAATCATGGTATCAACGATTACTACAACGATATTATTAAGAATATTTTTATTGTTTAGCCTTGAGCCGTAACGGGCGACAAAGCGCGCAGTTAAATAATTTTGAATCTTAACAGCATGGGAAAAAAACATTTTTAGTTGCATTTAAATACGAATTACGGTATTAACGATGTCTTTAAATTTTGTCTAGCCTTGAGCTGGATTGCATTGGTACCTAGCACGTAATAGTAAGGGATGCCAACTTACTACTTAAGAATTTTCTGCCTAAATTAAGGAAGAAAAATATAAATGTAAATTTTTTAGGAGGTAAATTTTTTGTGAATATTTTTATTAGTTAAATTTTATTCATATTTTTGGAAAAAAATAAAACTACACAAAAAGAAAAATATAATTTAATAGTGCTGTGCTGCTTGGGTGGAAATCAGACCAAGGCTTATGTGCTTTGTGTGTATATTTTAAATTCTTCCGCCCTAAGTTATAATACTGAATGTATTATTTCTTACACAAATTATAAAAATATTGTCACTCATGATTGCGTGTTCTAAGAATATGTTAAAGTTAATTATTAAGCGATATACAAGATGTTAAAATAAATCATTTTTATATTACTTCAATTTCTATTTTTAATGAAATTTTTAATTTAATCAGGTAATGTTTTAATTTTACCTTAATAATATAAAAAATCGTGATTTTAAAATCAGTAAGTTTTTTGAATTTAGTATATTTTAGTGGGTTTTCGAATTTATTTAGAAGTATTCTTTTTGAACAGTTGGTATCACTGGTGATAGCTTTTATTTATGTATAGATAAAATGATCGTCGAACAAGACTTTCGACGAATAAAGTCAAACAGCTTACGTTCGTAAACGTGAATTTAAACCCGGAGGAATCTAAATAATTATTAACCCACACATAATTGTAAATATATAATGTTAAGTTTTAAATATCAGGAAAATTATGTACATAGAATTAATCAACTTTTAAATACGCCTTTTTTTTTTTTTTCCGAAATCTGATATTTGAAATCGAAATCTGATTCAGATACGGTACTCAGAAAAAGCGATACGACCCATCTCTAGACCTCAATTTTTTCGATAATGGCGTAGGGCAACGCCATTATCAGTTATCACTAATAATAGTGTTTACAACTTCAAAAATTCCGTGTTGCTAGACTCAATATCAAAAGTTGTCCAATCTGATTGCGATTGTAGGCATGTTTGGGAAAATCAAAGAGAATATAACTACTACGTTGAGTGAAAGTAAGATTTCGATGGAGTGGTGCATATAAGTAGAATTATCTTAAAATAAAGAAAATGTACAAAAAAACAAAATAGAATACACTATGATGGTGTTAGTGTACCGTCACAACATAGTATAAAACAAAGGCATCAAGCTGTCTGTCTGTCCCTATGTCATTGTATACTTAGAGATCTTTAAAACTACGCAACGAATCTTGATGCAGTTTTTTTTTTACTAGATAGAATGATTCAAGTGGAAGGTGTGTACCCGTGCGAAGCGGGTATAGCTAGTATTCTATATTTCAAAGAAAGCAGCAAAAATTGTTGTGCTATTCGTTATACATTATCAATTGACCATTCTGGCCTTTCTTTGAGATTCTGTGAGAGCGATTCTTCTTCTATTCGAGAACTTTTCAGTGAAATTTCACTGAAAAGTGAACTTATCACTCGAAATCGTTATTCAAGTGATCCATATATCATCGCATCGCATCGCGATCTAAAAATTACAACTTTGTTCACCTTCTTAGAGCTTTAATGTAAGAAAAATTAAAGTCAATTGTTCTATCTTTCTCTAAGTAAATTTCCGACACTGACGTTCTCTGACGTTCCGACAAGTAGAATTACTTAGTATAGAAATACAAGGGAGCTACCTTAAAAACTAGAAACATTTATTATTCATAGAACAGATATTCATGCAGGATCAAATTTAAAAATTGATTGTGTTAATCTTTTCAATTAGATATTATAATTTGTACTAAGCCTTTGTACTTTAACTAATCGATAAAAGTTTTCTTTCGGCGCATTAGGGAAAAATAACGAGAGTAAATGACAATTGTATTCACGATATTTATTTTGTGATATTTAAATAAACTTTATTTCACTAGATAATGCGTTATAATAAAACTTTCAATGTATTAAATAACTTTTTTCTATTGTTAGTGTCGTTTTTTCTACAAACAAAATAAAATTTTTGTATAATTTTTACATTTGTATGTATAATTTCTAAAGCGTGTAAACACACTTTTTTTTGAACCTATCCTTTTTTATATTTGTGTATGAAAATTAATACTTAGAGGGAAAAGTAAAGAATAGATAGAAATGCGTAAAGGTGTTGTGAATAAATGTTTAGTTGTTATTATTCAAAAAATATAGTACAAAAAACATGTCAGAAGTGGGATTCGAACCCACGCCCACAGAAGTGGACTGCGACCTGAACGCAGCGCCTTAGACCGCTCGGCCATCCTGACTTGCTAAAGACTTTTAAAATATTTCATTAGATCATATCTACATGTATACCTAATTTAAAGTTAATAAAATATCTTTATTGAATGATGCTGGTACTTCCAGGCTACATACTACCTACTTAAGCTTTGAACGTGAGGCAAAAGTATTTCACGAGCTTGATACGAACCTCCACGTATGGCTGGAACGCGCTTTTGTCACTGTTATTTAATTTGATTTTATTTTGGTTCTTAATTTTAACAAATCAATGAAACTTTAACGATAGAACTAATTATGTTAAAAATTAACAAACTTCAGTGAATAAAAAAACAAAAACCATTATAAATCGCAATTAAAACTGCAAGGTTTTCTTTGAAGCCGTGGATTCGTTACGTAGATTCTCTTTTTCATGAAAAAGGGTTTTTAATTAAAATAAAAAAAGCTTAATTTACTTATCTTAGAAGAGAGAAGAAACCCCATGTATTTTTATAAAATATTTAAAACATTTTTTTATAATGATTTGGTTTATTTTTCTCCAATTAAAAAACTTTTAATTTGAGTACCTACTCAACTCTTAATAGTTTTTGTTTTTCAATCATTCTAACTACTCGTTAACAGATGGCGCTATTTTCAATTACGATTTACTTCACAGTAAATACAACCACATGTTCACGTGTTGCAGTGACATTCCGCAAGATTCCGTTAGTTGGATACGGCATGAACGGTAAATTACTCTACTATAGTAAAGTGAAAGTGAAATGTAGATTATCGAAAAGCAGCGCGTCGGCCGCGAACCTGCGGTTGTTGACCGCCAAAACTATTCGCGGGTGACGTAATTCATGTAATGCGTCGCCGGTGCGGGAAATTTTATATCTGCACTTCGTACTGTATTGTTCATGTTGGCCGCATAAACAATCTCCAAATAATTTCATCTATATAGTATGATTATAGTCATTGTTTCAATTTTGGTACTGTTGTTTTGCTTTGTACAAACGAAGGATAATAAATTAAAGTAGGCGTCGAATTACTAGACAAATATTGGAATATCTCGTTAGGTTTATCGTTATGAAGGAGAGTTTTCTTCGGGCGACCAATCTCTTCGTGAAAGTCGAATATTTGTATTTTATATTTTATATTTTGAATTGATGAATGATCTTAATTCACTGAAACAGTCCATCAGCGGATTTTTTTGAATTTGAGAAACGAGCTGGCGGTTCCCCTGATGTTAAGTCTTAACCGCCGCCCACGGACTCTTGCAACGCCCCTACGGTTGTAGATGCGTTGCCACCTTTTAATAAAGTGGGCCCTGGCTACCTTACTCACCAGACGAAACGCAGTAACACTTCCATTTGACACCGGTCTTCTGTGAGGTCGTGGTACTCTCCCGGATGGACCGCTCCATTCGTGCTACAGTGTAGGCTATCGCGTGGGCCTACCACAATAAATGGTAATAATAATACAATTATTACAATTTATTAACACCAAACAAGAAAAAAGTAAAAAACAAAATATTTCTCAAATATTGGTCAAACGGATGACCTTTCAAATCAGCAGGCACTATTAGAAGTCAAGATGCCTAAATCTATTTTTAATGGCGAACCAGATTTAGACATTATAAAAACACATTTCAATGACGCGTGAAGACTAAAGCGGATCATTGGAATTAATAAAACTTTCAATATTTTTTTGTAATAAATAAATAATAGTAACAAAAATTCCTTGGCTAGAATCAGTACATGTCTTATCTATGGCTAGAATGATTCATTGTAATGTTTTCCTTTAGGTATTCAACATTGATTTGCCAATTGACTTAAAAAGAGAAAA